AACTGGGAGACCTCGGTGAGGGAAGCGGCGGTAGAAGGAGACGGACTCGTCAAAGGTGACGTCACGAGAGTGGAGGAAGCGGTGAGACGGCGGGTGGTAGAAAAGCCAGTCAGACGAGTCCAGGGGGAAACCGAGGAAGACACAGGGGACAGTGCGGGCAGTGAGCTTGTCCGTGCCAGAGGCACGAACGTGAGCAAGGCAGCCCCAGACGTGGAACGCAGACGCGTCACCGGGGGACCCGGTCCAAAGGAGGGTCGGCGAAACCTGCGGCCGCTGGGAGCGTGGCCACAGGTTAAGCTGGTGAGCCGCGTAGCGAACAGCGAACGGCCACAGAAAATGGGGGGCATCGGCATGGATCATGGAGGTACGGGCGACCTCCATGACCAAGCCGATGCGGCGCTCAGCAACCCCATTCTGCTGTGGCGAGTCCGGCAACGTGTACGACTGGGTGATGCCCTCCGCACGACAGAACTGTCCAAGCCGACCAGAGGCGAACTCGCCGCCACGGTCGGAGTGGAGACACAACACGGGGAGACCGCGGTGGAGACGCGCAGCCACAACCCACGGGAGAAGAACGTCGGGCACGTCGGCCTTCCGCTCCAGGGGAAACACCGTGGTGTAGCGCGTGTAGTCGTCGACGAGCACAAGGAAGTAGCGCTCACCGCGCGGTCCGGGGACGGGGGCAGGGCCCCAAACGTCCAAGTGCAGGGTCTGAAGGGGGGCAGTAGCAGGACGCAGCGAGGAGGAGTGAGGAGCACGGCGGAGCCGACCCTCGACGCAAGGCGTGCACGGTGGCGCAGTCGAGGGAGGAAGGGCAGGGAGCGACGCGGGGAGACCTAAGACAAGACCGTGCTGGGACATGTGACGCAGACGCGGGAGAGCAGGGTGACCTAAGCGGTGGTGCCAGAGAAGGGAGGGGTGAGTGAGGGACCGACACGAGCAAGCTGCAGCGACCTGGGAGGACGCACCAACCGGGGGGGAAGCGGTGTGTAGGGTAAACAGACCGGACACCGGGTCCCGGGGGAACGTCGCAAGGGGGGAACCTGAGACAGCCTCAGAACAGACAGCGAACCGCTCGTGCCCGGGGAACGTGGTGGTGACGCCGAGGTCCTGGAGACAGCCGACACCAACCAGGTTCCTGGAGAACGAGGGAACGTGGAGGCCAGTAAGGGAGCCCGAGGGAACTGCCGGACAAGGAAGGGACGTAGAACTGCGCGCGACGACCGGACCCGCAGAGGGGTCAGCGAGAGAGACAACAGCAGGTGCAGCAAGCGGCGTGAGCGTGGAACGGTCGCGGAAGAAGCAGGCAGAAGCACCAGAGTCGAGAGTGAAGGACAGCGACGCAGTGGCGGAGGCCGGGGACGGAGCCGGTGCAGCAACTAGACTAGGCAACCTAGGCAGTCCTACGCCTGTCGCAGCAGGGGAAGCTAAGCTACACAAGGGTGAAACACCTAAACTAGAGTACACAGGGTAGTAAGATCCAGCAACACTAGAAGCGTCAGCATACAAAGCATGCAAAGCAGCACCTATCTGATCCATGTCTAACTCAAAGATCGGCACGCCCTGGCGGAGTAGGCTGTGCCAGTCAGGGAGGTCCGGGGCCGGGCCAAAGCGACGACGAAAAAGATCGTCGAGGCGGCGGAAACAGCGGGCGGTCGGGTGCGGGCGGCGGCACAGAGTGCCGCGGAGAGGCCCGGTCTGAAGCTGGTACTGGCAGGTCACAGCACTGGAGCCGCTGGTAGACGCCAAGCTGCGCGGGCCGCCACCACGGCCACCGCCTCCGGAGGTGCCGGGCCAACCAGGCGGGAGACGAGCCCACGGCTGCGGCGGGTGCTGCTGGGACGGCGGCTGCGGCTGGGGCTGGTCCTGCTGCTGCTGGGGCTGCTGCTCCTGCCCACCGGTGGTAGTCCCCTCAGGCGGACTACCGTCACCACCACCACGACCACTACCACCTGCGTCACCACCCCTACCTCCCTGGCGGCCACGGCCACCGCGACGCGAGCGCTGCTGCGGGTGGACAGCAGCAGCCGTCTCGGTAAGAGGGGTCGCCGTGGCGACCGCAGCCGAAACGTCAGTGAACGTGCACTGGGATGGGGCACAGCCGTGAAAGATAGAGACTGCCGGCGCACCGCTCGACTGAGCGATAGTGCGCTGGCGAGTCTCGATCTCAGTGAGGGTGTCGACAAAGGCGATCAGGGTGAGGTCACCCGGGTGCTGGCTAAGAAAGTGGTCGCGAGCACTAGCGAGGCGGTCTGGCAGGCGCATAGCGATAAAATAGAGCGTCATGCAGAAAGGAGGGGGGAGCGCAGTGAGCTGGGCAGCAGTGCTGGCAGTGCGATAGCGAGTCTCTAGGGCACGCAAATGAGTGGCAAAGTCTGCGACAGTAGGGAAGGCAGCCAGGTCTGGGAACAGCATCGGAAAGAGCAAGCGGCCAGCAGAAGCGGAGGCAGGGGTGGAATAGCGAGCAATAACGGCGTCTAAATAAGCTTTGGCCGTTTCAACAGTAGCAAAACGCGAGCGCTCAGACACAGGGAGGGCGTGACTAATAGCAACCTGAGCTACTGCATCGCGTGAGTCCCAGACCGCACAGGCCAGCGCAGCAGTAGAGAAAGCCTCACGGTCATCAGAGGAGGGGTCAGCAGGGAGGGGAGTAGGTGCAGGGGGACGGGGGAGCAAGCCATCAGCATGGACAACCAGAGAGTGGCCATCCTGGCGCTGACCTGTAAGCTGGCGGCGGAGATCGGAGAGCCAGGCGGCGAAGTCAACCGCGTGGCCCTCAGCGTCCAGGCGGAGCACAAAGTCAGCCATCGTGCAGGGTCAGCGGCACAGCTCCTCAGCGACACAGCGGCACAGCAGCACAGCTCCTCAGCGGCACAGGAGCACAGCGGCGCGGGGACACGGCGGCAGCACTCTCCAGTAGGGCAGCAGCTAGGCGTCCGAGCGCAGGCGAGCAGAAGACACAGGGCCCGAGAGGACACGGCAGGCCGAGCAGGGGAGGCGGGCAGGTGCTCTGGGGCCGGGCTGGTGCTGGGAGGGGCCAGGCTGGTGCTGCTGGGGCCGGTCGGGCACGAGGAGGGGCCGGGCAGCGCTGAGGAGAGGCCGGGCGGCGCTAGGAAGGGGCCGGGCGGCACTAGGAGGAGGCCGAGCGGCACTAGGAGGCCAGGCAGGCGAGCGCTAACAGCAGGCGCGACAAGGGCCAGCGGGCGCGACGAGGCCTAAGGGGCGCGACGGGGCCCAGCGGGCACGACGGGGCCCAGGGGGGGCGCGACGGGGCCGAGGAGGCGCGACGGGGACCAGCGGGCACGACGGGGCCCAGGGGGGCCGCGACGGGGCCTAACGGGCGCGACGGGGCCCAGGGGGGGCGCGACGGGGCCTAGCAGGCGCGACGGGGCCTAGGAAGCGCGAAGGGGCCCAGCGGGTGCGACGGGGCCTAGGAGGCGCGACAGGGCCCAGCGGGCGCGACGGTGCCCAGAGGGGGCGCGACGGGGCCTAGGAGGCGCGACGGGACCCAGCGGGCACGACAGGGCCTAGGAGGGGCGCGACGGGGCCGAACGGGCGCGACGGGGCCCAGAGAGGGGGGGACGCGACGGGGCTTAGGAGGTGCGACGATGCCTAGGAGGCACGACGGGGCTCAGCGGGCTCGACGGGGCCCATGGGGGGCGCGACGGGGCCTAGGAGGCGCAACGGGGCCCAGCGGGGGCGCGTTAGGGCCTAGGGGTCGCGACGGGGCCCAGCGGGCGCGACGGGGCCCAGGGGGAGCGCGACGGGGCCTAGGAGGCGCAACGGGGCCCAGCGGGCACGACGGGGCCCAGGGGGGGCGCGACGGGACCTAACGAGCGCGACGGGGCCCAGGGGGGGCGCGACGGGGCCTAGGGGGCGCGACGGGGCCTAGGAGGCGCGACGGGCGGAAGCGGTAGGCGGGGGGATCCTAACCTAAGCGTGATACCATGTTAACGTAGAAACGAATGATTACTAGAGGTGGAAACCTAGAACAAATACTAGTTGGTTGTACTCACTAGAAGCATACCTCAGTCTAGCCTATAACTTCTACATAGATAATATGTATAAGTTGACAGGGACAACCCTGATTCTTCGAATCTTGAATGCACGTGCGCCACTAGGGTAGCCCTTGCCTCGAATTTTACATTTCGGCTAAGTCCTCAAACGTCGCAACAGCCCTCCGAAAACCCCCGAAAATTGGCTAAGTCCTGAAAGTTAGAGACAATCCTCGGAAACCCCCCCGCTGCTCTAAAATTTCGGCGAAGTCCTAAATGTTAGAGACAATCCTCCCCCCGCCCCACCCCCTACTCACTAAAACTTTTCGGCTAAGTTCTCCCTGCCATAGACATACTTCTACAACTTCTATGCAGCCCTAAAATTCTGGCCTAGTCCTCATAGAATTCGTGATGCCCAGGTTACGTCGATTCAAAATCTCGTCAAGTACTGCAACTCAGGGATTATTCGTCACGTTTGGCAGAATACTTCGTGGCTAACTTTATAAGTTTTTCCACGGTCAAGATTACCAGAAACAAATTCAGATGATCCTGCACATTGAATTGGGAAACAGAATGACTTGCCATAGAGTGTGCCACATGCGAGGAATGCGCCCTCACCATCCAGCCTCGTCAAACGCCGTCATAACCGCTTGATGGAAATCGAACTGCAGTTTTTTTCATGCAACTTTTCGTTTCTTGTCGTTGACTTCATCAGAGTTTTCAGGGGCTTCATTCGCTTTAAGCTGAACGCCCATCCGGTCTCAGCAAAATTCTGTCTGACAGTCAAACGAAGAAAATTTTCCTGGTCTGATTACCTCGTGCGCTACAGTTGACGCAAACTCGGCCACTCGTGCCTCAACCCATCACAACGCGTGAAGCCAAGTGTGCTGCTGCTGCTGTTTAGAGTGACTTCTGAGATGTCAAGCGTTTGAGAATTTACCCTGAGGCCAAAGTATAGAGCGGAGAACCACCCTGAGGAATCAGTCTGAACATAAGCCACCAACCCTGACTGCTACACGTTTTTTTGGGGGCCCGCCCTGATTGATCAGTATGCCTAAAATCCTATCTGAGGCCCTGCACTGGAGGTTCCTGCTCTGCCTCTTCCAGCAGAGCCTTGCCTTTGCGCTTCCTCTCTTGTGATGCGAACACCACCGACTTCGCTGGTCTTCTCTTCTTTGCGTGCCACAGCTCCAGCGCCTCCTGCCAGTTGATGTCGTATCTCAGCAGCGAAATCATCATCAGCTCACCCAGGCGGGCATTGCACAGAGCACCACGGACCCAAGACTTGATCACGTTCTGCCTGGAAAAACCACGCTCGCACTCCACAGTTGAGACTGGTAACACCGCGCATGCTTGCCAGAGAAGCATGCAGTTGGGCCAGCGCCTGCTTATGGAACAACCACGCACAAGAGGCGTGGAACAATAGAATCAACTATAAACTACAAGCATGGTGGGAAAGGAACAATAGAAGTTGATACAAACATAGACTGTTAGCGTGGTCAAACTGGCAAAAACAATTATACACAGGCAGACACAGCAGCGTGCTTTGGAGGCTCGACTTACCTGCTTGACTCCGTGTTGCCAAGGTAGTTTGTGAGGCCCTGGTAGAAGCCCTCCTCGTTGTGGTGGTTCTGCATGATCGGGGCCCAAGTTGCCAGCTCCTTTTCCGCCTCCTCCAAATCGAACCCGGGGAGCTTGTCGTCGAAGATAGCACTGCAGCCATGGAGATACTCTCTCGTCTTCTTCTCCCTCACCATCCGATGCCGCGGCCACTTGCCCGCCCGAAACAGCTTCGTCGGCCCGAGCTTCGACAGGTCGTCCAGCCGCTCCAGCAGGTTCGTCACGCTCCCCTTCGCGAATTTCGCGCACAACAGTTCGCAGTCCCGGTAGTTGCTCTGGTAGACGTGCCCCTTGATCTGCCGCTCGTGCATCTGGTACGTGTGCGTCACCGGCTGCCCGTCCTTGTCGACGCCGCGCACCTTCACTCTCTTCGCCCCCCCTCGCCCGTACACGATTAAGAAAGCCGAGAGCCACGTGCCGCTTACGCCCGCACCGAAAACCCCGCCGCACTCCAAGTAGCGGTGCCGAAGATCCCCCACTGCCTCGTCGACGTCCTGTGTTATCTCGGTAACATCCACCTGCGGTCGGGCGGGGAGGGGGGGGGGGGGGGTGGTGGAAACATGGGGGCGCAAATCAAGGGGGAGAATGTTAGTGCTGATTGTGAAAGAACATACCACAAGCTCACATGCAAGGGCTCACCTCTCGCTTCTGAAACTTGAGGTTGAGCTCGTTCATGATGGCGAGGACGTCCGCCAGGAAGAAGAGACAAAACTGAAACTTGTATGAGATGACAACCTCGTACAGCTCATGGTTATACTCGTACAGTAAAATGATGGCCGCACCAAGGACCTTACAGAGGCGTCTGACTGCCTCGCCCCTGGACAGCCACCGAATCGCGTGGATTCCTTGAACTTCAAGGTTGGTCTTGTGGATGACACGCTGCAGGTACTTGAACCGCTGGCTCCACACGCTTGAACGGCCGAGGAGATCGGCCAGAGATCGGATAACCTTGTCAACCATGTCCAAGTCTGGACAGGCAGATGCGGCGTCCTTCACAGCCAGAGCTTCCCTGCGCACAGTCCATGTAAAAAGATTAGTAAACGAATAAAAGAAAAAAGCGACAACATAACATAACGAGTTTATACCGGTGGGCGATGCAGTGGGACGACACAAGGTGAGGGATGTGCTCGCGGAGCCGCGCCACGAGACTGTTCTCGCGCCCAACCATGACGGAAGTGCCATCGGTGCTGATTCCCGCGATGCGGTTGAATTCGATGCCGGCGCCTTGAAGATGAGTGAGAAGCACGGAGAGCAGGGATGCGGCGTCACACTTCTCGACGGTGAGCAACGAGAAAAACTCGATGACGACGCGGCGATGGCGCAGGAACGTGAGGTACACTATCAGGTGCTTCCCTCTGGTGCGATCAGTGCTCTCGTCGCAACTGATGCCGAGGAACGGGAACGATTGAATGTGCTGCATCTGGGTCCGTTGAAGAAGAGTCGCCAAGCAGTGGACCATCTGTTGAAAGCCGTACCTGCACGCAGAAGAGAGAGTAATTGTTAAAATAATCCAATGGAGAAGACTAATGGAATGTACTCGCCGGTACTTACCGAGTGAGGTAAACACCGTAAGACTGGAGCGGTAGGTCCGGGGTGTCCTGCTCAGCCATAAAGCGACATAGCCGAGGAAACATGCTGATGAGAGCATCGACCTTACAGAGAAACTCAACAGCGCGGAGCAGTCGCACGACCCGCCTCCCCTCGACATCCGACGACAAATAGTCGTCCATCGTCTTCTGCCCATCGGCGATGTCGTCGGCAATCTTCAGCTGGGCATCCACAGCTTCCTTGTGTGCAGAAGAGTGTTCGTGTATGCGCATGGTCTGTGTCTGCAGGTCTCGGCCACCATCGCCCGAAGAGCTGTACTTGGTGGTCTCCTTGCCAAACGTCATGCACACACTGCACTTGAGAGAAGGGTGGCCGTCTTTTGTTTTGGTCAGCACTAGCCATGGAAAGAAAGGCAGCCATGAAGTTTTGTACTTTGCTTCAGCGACGAGGTATTTCTGCTCTATCAATTCCTTCTTACTCAGCTTTGGCGGTGGCGGTTCAACGACGGCAGGGACTGCACTAGGTGATGGCGGCGTGGACGGGCGGCGGAGCCTACCTCCGATCATGATTTGAGACTGGGTGTACTTGCCCGTCCGTTGTTTCTTCGCAGACGAAATCGTGGACGCGCAGGGCACGCTGTAGCGGACTGTGGTGGCGGTGACGCAGTTAACGGGCAGAGTCGGGCCTCTGCTGGATGAGGCGACGGCAGGCGGAGGGACATATGGTGGTGGCATGAAGGGCGCGGACGGGGGTGGGTTTAGAGCAGGCTGGGTTTCCTCCGCTGCGGAGGAAACCACAACAGCAACGACGGGAGGAGAACCTAACGACCGCAGTATGTCTATCGCAGAGCGACGAACCTCTGCAGGCTCGTTACTATGAGGTGGTTCATCGGCGCTGGGCTCATCGTCTTCTTCTGCAGGAGTCCCCGTCATGGCTGTTGACGGGGTCGACAAACGAGAACCTACGTGAGGACGACAACAACGAAACACGAATTGAGGAATAAGATTTACAAACCCCGTGTAAAAGCCTGAGTGCGCCTGAGAGGAGGGGGAGGGATGAGAGGGACGAAGAAGAAGGGCACCATCAAGCCCGAGGCGCGTGTTTCTTGGTTAACCATCGTCATCAGCTTCTGGATGGCAGCCCCTTCCAAACCCACGCCGCCATGCCAAACATGAGCTGACGTTACAAACGAACCATGTGTTGGCATGGACTGTCGCCAATCACGGTCGGTCGGAAAGTTTTGCACATGCCAGCGAGGGCAAGAATCCCGCGTTACCAGCCTTTGATGGCTTCCAACACACCCACGTAGAGGTCGCACGCGTGGCAGGAAGCATGACGCGCTGAGCGGCAAAGTCCCTGTTGAGGCAGCATCACAGTCACAGAAGCGGCGGGAATCCTGCCAAGTGCAGATACTTCACGTGAGACGTGCGGGGGTGAAATGATGGAAGGCAACATATGACGTAGTAGAGGAAATCTCGTGGAAAGTACAAGGTGCATGGATGTCGCATTCAGAGTCCATACGCGATGTACTCTGAAACCTCAGTATCCGCACAACGACTACTCTGAAAAGTTCAGGATCCAAAATCTTACAAGTCTGAAGGGTTCAGTATCCAGAAAAGCCTAAGTCTGAAAAATCAGGATTGGCAAAAAAATGGGTCTGAAATTTCAGACAATCAGACTGAAATAGTCTGATAAAATCAGGCCTGGGTCCTCCCCGCCCACCTGCGCTTCCGCCCTTGCCCTAGTCCTAGCCCTAGCCGCCCTTCGCTAGCTGCCCGCCGCTAGCTGTTTGTCGCTAGCCGCCCGCTGACCATCCATCACCCGTAACCGCCAACCGGCCGCCCGTAGCCCGTAGTCGCCAGCAGTCCGTAGCCGTCGACCATCCGTCGCCGCCAGCCGTCCGTCGCCGACGGCCGCCCATAGCCCGTAGCCGCCAGCAGCCCGCCGTCACCGGTCGTCCGTAGCCGCCACCCGCTCGCCGGCCCCTACTCGCTGGCCCCGCGCTTGCCAGACCCGCGCCCAATGGCCCCGCGCCCTCCATCGCTCTCCACCGCTCTCCACCCCTCTCCACCGCTCTCCACCACTCCCCACTGCTCTCCATCGCCCTCCGTCGCTTTCCTCCCCCTCCAACGGCAGTTAGCTGCTGCAGCCGTAGTGATGGCGGACTCTGTGCTCCGCCTGGACGCGGAGGGTCGGGTGGTTGATTTTGAGGCTGGCTCGTCGACCTCCGCCGCCAGCTGACAGGTCAGCGCCAGGACGGCCATTCCCTGGCCGTCCATGTCGACGGTAAGCTCCCCTATACCGAAGCGTCTGCTGCCCTCCCTGCTGCCCCCACGTCTGCTGAGCGTGAGGCCTTTGCCGCTGCTGAACTTGCCCGCACTGTCTGGGAGTCACGCGACGCAGTCACACAGCTTGCCATTAGTCATGTCCTCCCCCTGTCTGAGCGTTCCCGATTTACCGCTGTAGGAAATGCGAAGGAGTACTTAGATGCGGTCATTGCGTGCTACTCCACTACCTCCTCTGCCTCTGCCGGCCGTCTGATCCTCCCCATGATATTCCCTGGACTTGCTTCCTTCCCCACTGTCGCTGACCTTGCCACTCATCTCTTCGCACTTGAGACTAGCTACCGCGCTGCTAGCACTGAGGCACAACTCAATGCATTCCCGCCGCCGCTTTGCACTACCTTTACCTTATTGTCGCGCGCCTTCCTGACCGCCTTGTCACTGCCCGTGACCACTTCCTTAGTCAGCACCCAGGTGACCTCACCCTTACCGCATTTGTCATCGCCCTGTCTGCGATAGAGACCCACCAACGCACTATCACTCAGTCTAGCGATACTGCGGTGGTCCCTATCTTCTAGGGCTGTGCTCCCTTCCAGTGCACTTACTCTGACGTTTCCGCTGCTGTCGCTGAGACAGCCCCTGCTGCTGAGACCGCCGCCGCGGCTCAGCGCAGCCGCGTCAGGGTAAGGGCCGCCACCCCAAAGGGGAGCGTGGCGAAGGGAAGGGTGGCAGGGGTGGTGGGGCTGGCGGAGGTGGTGGAAGTGGGGGCGGGGACGATGGTGCAGACGAGGGGACTGAGGCTAATGCCCCGGAGCAGCAGCCTCAGCAGCACCAACAGCAGTAGCCGTTGTGGGGACCTCCGCCGCCGTGGTGGCCTGGCGGCGTTGGTGGTGGTCGTCGTAGAGGTGGGCCGTGCAGCTCGGTGTCGGGTGGTGGCTCTAGTGTGGCCACCTGCCTGTACCAGCTTTAGTCCGGCCCCCGCTGTGGCACAGTCTGTGACTGTCCCGGTCCCACCGCCGTCCGCTGCTACCGTCGCCTCGACAACCTCTTCCGTCTTCGCTTTGGCCCCACGTCGGACCCCCCGACTGGTACAGCCTGGTGCGTTACCGTGTCCCTGTCTTTGAGCGTAACATGGATCAGATTATGTTTGCTACGTATGGCATGTATGCAGATGACTCTAATGTAACTAGACCATATTACCTGGTGTTGCCTAGTGTAGGTGTGTCCACTGTGTGGAGCATAGGTTCCCCTGCTGCGTCAGGCATCGGACCACCTGCCTTGTTTAGCCTCGGCTTCACTCTAGCTCCTCCGCCTGCAGCCGCTACCGACGTGCTCTCTTTCATGCTAGACTTGGGTGCGTTCGCATGCTTCTTTCGCGACCACACTGCGCTTCTGTCGCTTGCTGCCCCAGCCGTTGTAGCGCTTGCTAACCCCTCCTTAGGTCCGGTAATTGTACGTAGCTCCACTACCCTTCCCTGTCCAGCTGTTCGCTCGCACTCTCTTACAAGCCTACTCATCCCCTCGTTCTCCAGGAACCTAGATGGTGTCGTCTATCTTCAGGACCTCGGCGTCACCACTACGTTTCCTAGACACGAGCGGTACGCAGTCTGTACCGAGGCCGCCACTGGTGCCCCGCTCACCACGTTCCCCCGGGACTCAATGTCTGGCTTGTTCACCATAGACATCGCATCCCCCCCAGTGGGAGCGTCCTCCACGGTGGTCGCGCCCTCCCGGGTTGTAATGGCTTTCTCGTGTAGGTCACCCACCCACCCGTCGCTTCTGTGGCACCACCGCCTAGGTCACTCCGCACTCATGCGTCTGCGTCACATGTACTATCACGGTCTTGTCTAAGGTCTCCCTACGTCGCTCCCTGCCCTCCCTGTCACAGGATCGAATGACTCGAGGAAAGATTGCACTATCGATCAGTACAAGGCACTTTTATACTTCCAAAGTACATCAGGTAACCAGGTTTATCTTATCCTAAGGGAATAAACCCTTCTAGAAGATAGAATCCCTCTGTGTATAGCCACGCGAGGCTATTGGCTTTAAGGGATTATGACAAGATTACGCTAGATACAGCGCACCAGTACATCCCAAGCCTGGTCGGTGATATAATTCTAATAGCAAGATAAACCAAAGGTTAATGGAAAATGGAGAAGAAGAAACCAAATGAGATGAGATAAAAAAAGAAATGAAATAGGAAGGAAATAAGGAAAGGCCAAGTGGTGTAACTGGGTCGTACTCTCACACTTCCCCCCCTCAAAACTAGGTGGTAGAAGTAACACCCTGCTTGACAAGGTAGTCATGCAGAGGACGACGGGCGTTACCCATGTCGGACTCAGGTACCCAGCTGTCCTCAGAAGGATCATAACCCTTCCAACGGATGAGAAGCTCCATGGTGCCATTCCGACGACGGCGGTGTGCAAGCACGGACTCGACCTCGTACTCGGGTTCATTCTGGACGAGGACGAGCGGCGGCGGCGGCGGTTGGC